AACGAAGGAGTCCGCAAAGACTGAATTGGGCAGCTTTTCCACATCGCAAGCACATGAGGAAACAAACTCGACTGCACAGTACATCCAATTAAACCTGGACAATCTTTCAGCATCAGAACTAGGGAAGTGGCAAGGGGGTGAAGTCCCACCCAATTCTGAAATCGGATCCAAAGGACAAACTCATCGATGCCACCCATGCAGACATCAATATTGGAAACTACTTCCAAAAACTTATCATTTGTGACATTGCCAGGGTGCAAAGCTGGGACATTACAAAGGTTGTGAAGCCACTGTTCGAAGCTGTTATTATAATATACATCAGACTTGTGCAAGTTGGACACCCTTCCCAAAAGATTTTCAGGTGCCACCTCTTCTTACTAGTTTTCTCTAGAGCTACATGTATACATTTTATAATAATCTATTTGTCATGTTAGGTGCTTTGGATCAGTCAGTCAGGCTCCTTCCATAATGCCACTTGACTGCTACCCTACCTCTACAAATAACTTATAATTAAATGCATATTCTATTTTTTATTTAGGTTTTGGCATCCTGGAGTAAGGGAAGTATAGAACTTACTGCAGAAGATTGTCTTGCCAACAAAAACATCAAAGACACACTACGAGACCCAGTACAGAAAATTAAAAGCGAAGGGCACCAACATTCTGAAGCCGCCACATTTTCTCACAGAGTTGGAGAAGGATATCATGCCAGGAAGTGTTAGGTTAAGGTTGAAGGGAGGGGCAGATGTTATCCATCACACCCTAGTTAAGGTAGAACAGTGGAATATGGGGAGCTGTCATCTGAGCCCAAGGATCTCAATAGCGAGGACTACCCAGGATTAAAAAAAACCCTTCCCCAACATGAAAGGCGTGGCTTGGTCATAATCCATGCCCTTGCCAAGACTCTGGAGGAATTGGATGCAGAGATTTTAATGGGCTTGAGAAGGCAGGACTTGATTCTGATGATGACCATGGTGTCCTCACAAAAGAATGGCAACAATAGGATGTGACGAAACCGCCTTCATCACTCGGCCGCTTATTGTGGCAATAGGCGATGAAAACAACAGGGCTTCTGTCTCTGTCCTCCTGGAAGGTATGGAACAAGATCGGGAGGTTCTCCGAGGGAAATTAATGACAGTGAATGCTGGTGATGTGTGGAGGTGCCACATGTGGGGTTGGGGCTTAGCACATATTGTTCAATTTGGATTTGAATTTTTTCTGGAGGCACAGGTTATGAATTGGGAAGTACAAGGGGGAGCCAGTTGAGGAAGTTAACAAGAGGGATGATGGGAGTGCACAGGAAGTAGAGTTAGGGATGGAGATGATTGGGATGAAGGGAAGGGAGAGATGGAAACTAGGGAAAGGCATGACTTGGAACATGGGAACGGGGATGACAGGGATAAAGGGGAGGGACTAGATGAAGCACAACCTGGGAGAGGAAGTGAACAGCAGGAGGAGGAAGGGCAGGGAGCGATGGAGGGCAGAATCCCAGCCTCAACAGCTGCATTTGAGGCTAGTATCCTGTCCCGGATTGGTTAGAAAGGGTCATAATCCAAAATAGGGGACAGGGCGAAGTGAACGAAGACAAGGATAACGATGGGGATGCTGAAGATGATTCTCAAGACGTTGCTGAAGATGATTCTCAAGATGATGATGAAGATGATGATTGGAATGAGGGGATGATGATGATGTAATTGACGGGGTGGGAAGGGATTTTGCCTATTCATACTTCACCGAGGAAGATAAAAAACAGCCGAAGCAAGGTTAATTTTGCTGTTAACTTGGTCCATACGCTTTTCAATCCAGCAAAAATGTGCCAGGGTAGAATTAGGGGCAGGAACCAGGGACAGGGCAGGCCAGTGCTCCAGCTTGACCCTGAACGTATGGCCATCGCACAACACAACTTCTTTCGTGCTGTGCAGTCAAACAAGAAAGACTTGTGGAGGAGATTTTGTGTCTCTGTAGATGCCGAGGGCAGAAAATTAAAGCAACAGCATCAGCGGTGACACATTGAAGGCTAGTTATTATTTTTTATTATTAAGTTAGAGTAGATTCATTTCAATTTGTGTTTGCTTTCGAGCTACCTATCTTTCATTGTCTTTTGCGGCTTTGAGAGGGATCAAAGTCTGCGTACTTGTCATCAGCCACGATAGACATATGTGACCTGTCATGACAAAATAAGCGTTAAGTTGCACTGTGCCATTCCCAGTGCAGCAGGTTTAAGTCAAAAATCCAAGGAGAGGTCTATTTTTTGTTGTTGCAATAATTGGAATGTGTAAATATTGTTCTATGGTATGACCCGAAAGCTGAAGACGTGGCCTTTTCATTTTTGACTGGCATGACCCTTGACTGTTCATGCAATAAACATATACTTAAGACAATTTGTGAGGTTGTCATTGATGTAAACAACGAGCCTTGTTACTAAGGCTCGTAGATGTAAGCGCTGTGATTCGCTTAATGCTACCACGTGTACAGGTGCGTACGCACGTTATTGTGTTGTTGGAGTGCTAGTACACGTACACGTACGTACAAAGAAAGCCATCGACCATGTTTTGCAATGTGTAACTGTGTGAAAATGGAAAGATTGTTGTGACATTTATTTCGATATTTATAGTGTTTTCTTCGTGAAAAATGGCCAACAAGGACAGAATAAAGAGTGCACTTCATGATGCTGGGATTCTGGGGCTCACTACTGCGGATAATGATGCACTTGGTGAGCTGTTCACGGAATTCTTTTCCAACGATAATCCCAAATCGTCGGACTCTGAGAATGAGTCGTCTGATTCAGATGGCGGTGGAGAAAATGAAATCGACATCGAACCCGAAGAGTCTATGGACATTGACACTGATAGCAACGATGACATCGAACTTTTCGTACAATTAGAGGATAATGAAGATGCTAACATCGTTGAAGGAGTTACAGAAAAGTCGAAACTTCGACAAATGCAGATGCCGCAGTCAACAATGCTTGGAAAAGTTTGACAACAGTTTCGTCCTCAAGCTTTGATGTCAGATGAGTGATGCGAACTCTCCAAGTCCAAGAAGAAGATGTTTATATTATTATTATTATTATTTATTCGACCATCACAAAAACAAAACAAAACAAACTTGAGTAAAACGTGCATAATTTATTTCAATTTGTTTTAATTGTTGATGAAAAAAACAATGATGATCTGATGATCAGCATTTAAAACTGAAAATTCCATCGTTAACAAACCCAGTGATACATTTCTATAATAGATGTAACTGCTCCTTTAAGCTACATTAATGTTTGATGTTTATCTTATACCCAAGTAATTAGATGACAATAAGTTAGTGAAAAAGAGGTTTGGAAATGGTCAATTTTAAACCAAAGCAAGTTTAGTTTTATTTAGCAGAACATTGTACATGATTTCTTCTCTGAAAAACAGTATTAATCAACAAAAGTATTCTAACTTCCCTTTTAAGTTACATTAATTTATGATGTTTATCTTATACCTACTTTATTAGATGACAATAAGTTATTGAAAAGGATTTATTATTTTTAAATGTTCATCACTGAAGCCAGATTGCATGTAGTTCAATTTAGCAGTGCACAAGTCGCTCTTTTTTTTCTTTCCTGGAATTTTTTGTTTTCAAGAAAAGTACGCTAATTAAATACGCAAATAAGACAGTACACTTAATCATAAGCACTTTTTTTAGTGGTAGATTGATTATAGTGTATTTTATGATCTGTGAAAATTTTGTGAGAAAATAATGATTGGAACATGCATGTTGCTATGAAAGAACAAATCTACCTTCTTGTGTGTTGAATTATTTTTTTGTGGTTTACTCATGCAGAACTTTACGCGCGGTTTTCTATCAATCTTTCTCAATAGATTAGTGTGAACTCTCTCGATTTCACAAGCTCTGTCGGTTTGGAGGATTAATGTTACCCTAAGTGTTAGATACCATTGGAAAGCTCTAGTCCGTGGGATGAGGCCTTTTTTTCGCTCGCCACGCAGTCTTGTTCGCCGAATTTTATAAAACTTCACAGACATCATAATTATGGTGTACCATATCGAAAAAACTTTGTTCCCTGATTCACAACTTGTTTGGGAATGAGAAAATATGGGATAAAAACGTTGAAGATTTGCCAGAGAAAAATTTCACACGCTTTTAACAAAACTAATTAGTCATGTTCCATTCTAATGATTCAATTTCAAAGTTTGGTCAACCTCTTCAGTCACCGGGTCGAGAATATTCGTCATTACAGATCAAATTTGTCTAAGCTGTTGCCGAATGGCAGCATTCAGTCATTTAATTCGTCTATGTTCATGTAAATCAATTTGACGAATTTAATTTCTCAATGACAAGGTTTGGCGTAGACGAGACGAAATTGAATACTCTGTGACAAAAACGTGTGTTCATCGTTTGAATTTGCTTGAACTGCATTTGAAATTGTCTGACAACAGACAAAATGAAGCATATGAAGTGCCCTAAATCGATATTCATGGACAAATTTGAATATTAGAAATAAACGATAAATGTTTAAAATAGCTGGGGAAAACCTATATTGCCTGGCAAGCACTCATTGCGTGCAAAAAGGTTTCTGACTGTCAATAGAGGGCGCTGTTTCTTACTTTTTTCCTCATGCAGAATTTTCGGCGTTTTTATCCCAGATTTTCTCATTCTAAAACAAACTGTGGGTCGGGGAACAAAGTTTTTTCGATATGGTACATCATAAACGACATGTCTGGAAAGTTTTATAAAATTTGGTGGACCAGATCGCGTATCTCGAAAACTAAAGCGTTTTCGGGCTCTCGTTCCACGGACTACTCTTGATCTACAGAATTTAGAAATACCAATAGCTCATTTTTTTAAATTTCCTTTTTTTTTTAGTTTTCATTTTGTGGTGACGGGTCACAATTGGATGTTTTTTACACAACTCCAACAAACTGTATCATTTGCTTTCAACAGTATAACAAGGAGGAGATCAAGTGGTCACATCTGCTGCAGCTCTAGGACTGGGACGTCGGCATGAAGAGGAGTTCCCCAGGACTGAGGAAGCTTCACAAGCTGACATACAAGCACCTGTACTTTGTCACCTTCTCTGAGAATGCACGTGTACTTGGCAGCACAGGTGAACAAAAGGTTTTAATATGATGCACTTTTCCAACAAAAATAGAAGTCCTTGGGTAAAAACAGAAAATGAAACGTCAGAAATTGTTGTCACAGCCAGAGAAATTAGATAATCAATTGAATGAACTAATCTTTCAATTAGGGGGGAAAAAACAGAAATTCTGGATTCTAAAGTAGGTAGTAAGGTTGCAACCCCCCCCCCCCCCCAACATCTCTTTCAGTAAGTATCCTATCGTGACTTGATTTTAACAGATACCAGTACTTTATGAATTGGCAGGTCCTGAGCAGCACAGTTGCAAATGCGCTGGAGTCCTATGGGCAGGTTGGAACGACCTCAACTGTCAAGTTCATCAAGATGTTTGATAAGTTTTTCGACTGTTTGAATGTCTCGAATATGTGCCAGTGAGCACGCACAAGAAAACCGGCTTTGGCACCAAACACAAGTGTAGATGATTGGCGGTTTGAGGTGAGTCACTTGGAGTTCAGATAACCACAAAAATATATTAACCAGTTTGCGTGGGTTGATGTATATACACGCAAGAAGTTAGGCCCGAAACATCTGTCAGCAACCCAAGCAGTAAATATCAGGGTGTGCTACATGTACTAACAGATGTCACCTGAACTCGTCTGGCAGTGAGGTTTGTGAAAAATAATCCTGTGCCTGGGTCTAGCAACTGTCAAAATAAACCCAGCCTGAACTGGTTTATACATGTACATCCATGCTCAAATTAACCGCGGCAACAGTAACATTCAACTAATATTTTATTTTACGAAGGATTTCTTGGGCTTCTTGTGGGAGTGGGAGGATGAAGTCCAAGCTCTGCCAGATGTGGACAGCACGGCGCGTAAGAAGATGTGCCTCAGCATTGAAACTTTGGACGGTCTCCAGATAAGAGGTAATTGTTGTTTTTGCCATGTGCAATCACTCCTTTGTGAAAGTGTACTGCATTCCTGCCACTGCCAGGAACATCTGCGTACTTCAGGAGACATGTTAATTGTTCACGTTTTTAACAAACTCTATTTTACTCTCTTTGTTATTATACTTAACTCCTTCGTCGAGTTGGCAAAGGGCTTGCTAGATTCTAGCTTCCTACTCACTGAGAAACTGAATCAGAGGGGTGCTGGAGGGGCCTGTGACAACCAAACAGTTGAACAATTTGGTCATAATATGCTGGTGCTTCATGTTGCCTCTGCCTGTGTAAAGGCATCCAAGTGAGGGAACTCCAGGAACAAAGAAAGACAGGATGATGGCAATTAGCCTGTTGCGGGTACCCGCCCGCGGAGGCCAAGAACCGGCTCCATTTTATCGGGTCGGGTACCTGTAACCGAATTTATAAATTTCGACGCAACGTCCGAGACAAAAAAACCCACAAGTACGTGCATTCAAATATCGCCAACAGAAGATTTACAAAGTTCAGAGTGAGTTTACCGACGATTCCAAAACTCCATTTTGCAGTTTATATTTTGTTTTCAGTTTTATTTAGGTTTTATTTTATCTTTGATGCGTCTCCAGAAGCCCGAAAGTGGCGAAACACGATAGTATCAACCTATTGTTTGTGTTTGTAATAAAGCTTCTTGTAGCCGCTAGCCAGGAAATCATATTCTTTGATGCGCCGCAGATGGCGGGTAGTACCCATAACAAGTCCGTAACCTAAGATTTACAAAGTTGAAAGTGAATTACCGATCATTCACTGAAAACTCCATCTTGCGGTTTTTAGTTTGTATTCAGTTTTGTTGACTATCTTTGAAGTTTGAATTGATGTGTCTCCAGAAGCACGAAAGTTGACCCATCATGTTTTTAATAAGTTTCTCGTAGTGCACCACAGATGGCGGAATAAACAAACGTAGTCTAAGTGATTGGCGTTTTAATTGCAGTCACGAACGATAAAAAAAGATGACAAAATGTTAGCCCAAGCTACTTTGCTGTGTCTGGCTTTATTTTCAAATACGGGACCAACTCTATCTTTGCTAAAAGGTACGTTTAGATCGCTGTGTATTTTTTTTTAACATTCAGTGTGTGCACGTGAATTATGATTTAAGAATAAAACTGGCGCCTGGCGCCGACGTGAAAACATAAGTTTAGATTATATTTGGAAGTCGTATGAAGATAGATAGTTTATGTTTAGATAGACTTGCTTGCATTGAATGGTTTTAAAAGCAGTTTGTTTATGAATAAGGTATACGATAAATATCCTTATTCATGCAAATTGTTTGATTGGGTTTACTACCCGTAGGGAGAACTCTGGTCATTTTTTTAACTTAATTCTTGATTTGGTTTACCCCTTTTTAGAATCTATTTGGGGAATCGACAGAACGTGCTCAAGCTTTTGAAGCAGACCCAAGAAATTAAGTTACTTCACTGTTGAATGGTAAACTGATTTTTGACTATATTTTTAGTTTAAAGTAAGAGAGTGATAAACTCTACAGTAGGTTTTTACTCTTAAACTTATTATTTTTTTAAATATATTTTGCAGAACTGAAGAAAAAGAAGAACTCTGACAAGAGGAATTCTGGCAGAGAGGACTACAAAACATCTAACAACCAACACCCTCCACACACCACCTTTAAGCACACCGGTAAGCGACGATACAAAACCCCAGATGGACGTACAACTACAATACACCCACGAAAAAAAGGCAATACACCCATGAAGAAACGCAATACACCCACCAATGGAGCAAGCACAAGATAAAAAAAATAAGGGCACATAGAAAGTATCACCAAGAGATGATAACATTTCTTGGTGAGTTAGAAGAACAAGGCCCTAGCGTATATTTATCAATACCCAAAAAACCAAAAGGGAATATTCGATCTCTATTAGATAAACAAACAACATCTAAGCTTACTGGAAATGATCTGCATCTATATTTAATTGGTAAATTAAAAGAAGACTTCTCTCAGGAAAGCCGCTGTCCTTTAGTTGAATTATGTGAAGTAAAAAACCTGGAGGCAGCCCATAATTATCTTGTAGCTGCCTATGATAGAGTTACGCGACATGAGGCCCTCACTATCCGTTTTTATCTAGACTACGGAAGAGTACTTCATATTGCTCATGCGATTCATGCTTATGAGCAACCATTACAATCCTGGGAAGACTGGTTAAAAGACAACGTAGGTATCCAGCGGTCTTACGCGAATAAGCTACGCGTGATTTCACATTTATTATGTGACTATCCCTTGTTTAGGCTATTAGGACTACCATTTTACAAACTTTACAGCATAAGAAAAGAAATTAAACTTATGTTGCAAGTCTCACATATCGCCAATATTTGGAAACAAAGTACATATAGGACTACCTGATTATACATTGCTTTGTCATGACGTTAGTCGATATGTTTTTGTATATAACCCATCGGGTACAAAATGTGTACAAAGGCACTGCTTGTCACGATAACTAGACAAGGCTGATCGTTATATGAATCATCAAAGTTGTTTACATGACAAGTATTTTATTGTATTCGGTCCGAGTATGACCATTTAACAATAGAGTGTGGTTTTATTGTATTCGGTACAAGGCTGATCGTTATATGAATCATCAAAGTTGTTTATATGACAAGTGATTTCTATTGTATTTGGTCCGAGTATGACCATTTAACAATAGAGTGTGGTTTTATTGTATTCGGTACAAGGCTGATCGTTATATGAATCATCAAAGTTGTTTATATGACAAGTGATTTCTATTGTATTTGGTCCGAGTATGACCATTTAACAATAGAGTGTGGTTTTATTGTATTCGGTACAAGGCTGATCGTTATATGAATCATCAAAGTTGTTTACATGACAGGTGATTTCTATTGTATTCGGTCCGAGTATGACCATTTAACAATAGAGTGTGGTTTTATTGTATTCGGTACAAGGCTGATCGTTATATGAATCATCAAAGTTGTTTACATGACAAGTGATTTCTATTGTATTCGGTCCGAGTATGACCAAGTCTATTTGTGTATGATTTATTAAGTGTGGTGCCTAGCAACGTGAATGCTTTTTAAAAAGACTTTGATATTGTTGTTTTAAAGTTTATTATTGTTTGTAAATCTTAGTAAAATTTGTGTAAATATAATTTGTTTCTTCAAGGTTTTTTTTGTTTGTGTCTGAGTATTGTTTATCCTACAGAGGGCGACATTCATTGGTGGTGAGGGATTATAAACAGAGGGCGGCATTTAATTTTTATGATAAGGGGTTAATGTACCGATAAAAACAGAGGGCGCTATTTATAAGCGCTAAGAGGTCTGATTTCAATTATATAAAGAAAGGTGCTGTTCAATAAAAAAAAAAGAGAGGGCGATATTTATTTATTTAAAAATGCTATCATTTTTATTTAAAGTTTATTAAATAGATGGAATACTTTGGGACGCCACAACTTGGGGATAAGTGCGATCACCATATAATCATCGAGAATGTTTTTTAGTTTGTGAAACGTGTGGTGAAGTAGTCACACGTTATTTTGATTTTTCGGCAGAAAATGCGCAAGAAGATCGTATCAATTGGTCAATTTTAAAAAGAAATAAAAGAAAAACTGCGGAAAAACTTATTTTGTAGGTGTGTCCAGAGCAAGACTCAGAAGATGTCCAAGAAACAATCAATAAATATAACGAGCTCGTTAATTACAAAACATTGAGGGGAAACGGATGTGTCAAACGCTCGTTAATAGCCGCGAGTTTCCATAATGTAGTTGGATTAGACAAAGAACGAGTTAGAGATTTATTTAAAGTGACTCAAAATCAATTTGATAAGGCACTAAAAAGATATGATGACCACTACAACAAAGGCGGGGCCGAGGGTAACACCCTAAGAGGTGAAATAGAGGTATAACTCGGTGGATCGCTTTCATAATGTTTATTTACCGAGAATTTGAACTTGTAAGTTTTTCGATAAGAGATTTTTTTTCTTTTGCCAGCCGTTCGTCTACCCGTTTTTTAACTTCTTTTTCAAAGTCTGTATCGTTTTTAATTTTTTGAAGCTTTGTGCTGGTCTTTGTTCTAATTTTTTGTTTAAGCTCGTTAAATTTTGCGAGCTCTCTCGTAATCAATATAAACTCTTCGTGCGATATATCTCCGTCATTGATGGCTTGAGACACGTTTTCTTCAATCGTGTTAAGTTTGGAGTCTGCTAATATTTTAATCTGGTCGTGCTTTTTCAGCTTGGCGGATAATCGCTTAGACGCGATTCTAAGCAGAATATCTACACCAAAAGCGCCTATAAACGTTCCTTCTAGCACCAATCCAACGGGGGCTGATATAACACCCAAGAGAGCGGGAATACTGACAGCCCCCGCTATAGCCCTCAATCCTTCTAATCCTATCTCTACGTAATTAATAGTGTCGATCATTCTCTTTATTTTTTTATAAGTGCGCTCTCGGTGGTCTCTCTCTTTCAAGATTAAAGATCGAATCTCTTCAATCTTTTTAAGTCTGTACACTTTTGTTTCTTCGTTACTATGTAATTGGAGTACATCTCCAGCCAGAAATATCGAGGTATAACGCCTTACCATCTACACTCATGTTTTTAATATAAAAAGATTTTAAAATTAAAAGATCTCCAACTCGATAATGATACCCTTACCCTTATTGTTGAATACCTGTCCTTTTTCACCGCTGATAGAAAATGCCAGTTTGTCGATTATACCGTTTTTAAGATTTTTGAATCCCTCGGCTCTATCAATATCGGGTTTGCACGTAGCCACGGGTACGATTTTTAAGATGTCAGAAGGACGACCATTAAAAAAGTTTTTACTCGTACTTAATTGCGGGAGCGAATAAACAAAATTTAAACGGATTAACGTCGTAAGACCCCGTATACACCACTTTGGGTACCAGTCTTCCTTTGGGTAAATTGAGTAATAGAGATACTTCTCTGTTCAAGCGCAATTTGAGATTTACGTCGGTTATCACCAACGTCACCTTTTTAGATTCTCTAAATATTCGAAAACATACCCCGGGTTTAGAATTTAAAATGAAATCGAACCAATTGACGTCGTACCACCCCGGTGCTATTATGACCGAACCGATACTTCCGAGTGGTAACGGCGCTAAATGACTCGGAGGAATAAAATCTAAATCATCACCCGTCACGATAAGACTTCCTCTTATAATCACCCCTGCTTCTCTACTATCTCTCAACTCGCTCGCACCCATTTCTCCTTCAATAAACTTTAAAGCCAATTCCTCACCTTCAAAGATTTTTCTTTCTCTAACATATAATATTCTTACTAAAGATTGAAGCGTATTAAGTTCTAATTCAGTTTTTGGTATTTCTGAAGACATGGCGGCTAAAATCAACCCTCGCCGTTCAGTTATAATAGCTCTTTTTCTTTTGTTTGATTCTAAAACGGATTCTAGTTTATCGTCTTCGTACGCTTTTATAAGATCGTTTATAGTTTTTTGTAAAACATTTTCATCGTTAAATAAAAAGTGGTATGGTATATCGGGTAACAATCGCTCTATAAAATCTCTATCCGGCGTTCTTATGTGTACATCTGAAAGAAACTCCGGGGGTATGAGGGGAGGTTTATCTGTGGTAAACGCGGGTCTCCCATCTATTTGCGTAAACCAATCAATCTCTGTGGCGCTGGAAATATTAAAATATCCCGCGTTAAACAACACCCTTTTTACGCGTACAGATTTTTGACCGTTTAAATTATCTACGACGTCTTCTAATTTAAACGTCTGCTCATTTTGAAACAAGTGAAACGAATGCATTTATTTAAAAGTCTTGTTATATTCAAACTGAAACTAAAATAATGAGTGATTTGGAGTCGTTAAAAAAGAAGATACTAGGTATAGCTGATCAGGTAACGAAACAAGTAAATCAAAATGTAGCCAAGGCAAACGAGTTAAAGCATCAAGTTGCATCCCAAGCAAAGTTTTTAAACAGCACTAAAACCAGTGAACTGGAGGTCATAGTTAATAATACCAACGGATTTTTAACCATGTTTCCTGACTTAACCTCGGACTATAAATTGCCTCACGTTGAGACAGACGAGGATGTAAATCGTTGGAAATCACACCCCATGTCGTTTTATCAAAATCAGTTAAATTTGCGATCTACTGCGCTACTACGGGCTGCGGTATTGGATTCGATCTTTTAAACGCGGGCAACCGTTACGTTTGGGCCATCTTTAACTTTCATTTATATTTTACGGTTAGAAAGATCCTGTACGACTTTGCCGCTCCTTTACCGGGAGATGACGCATTTAACGCTCTAGACAACAGTTATAATCACAGAGCATTTACCGATACCTGTTTGTTGTTTGGCATAGATCAAAACAAGTCTTTTAAACAGACAAGAGACACAAAATCTAACGGTTTGGGTACCTCGTATAGCTTTAATAAGGGTAAGTTTGTGGCGGTTGGTGAATACGATAGAGCATTACCCAACAACCCCAACGTTATTTACGGCGGCTACCACGGTCTAGATAGTCCTAAAAAGAGTGGAAGCAGTTACGTTCCTTGGACGGTTATTTACATCGAACAAAATGAATCAGTACAAAAGGCTTGGTTAGATTTTATACCCGACACGAGTTCGTTTACCCCCGCGGGTAAATAAAGATCAACGAATCGATCAGATCTTACGTGT